ATCTGGTACTTCCCATTAGGCAATGGGAAGTACCTTCCCTACCACCATGAAATCATCCTCCATGTGACTGCACACAGTGGCAGAGAAGTGCATGCAACCCACAGGGAGCTGTGCTAGCGCTCACAAATGTTGGACCGGGAAGCCTAACCCTGCAATCCAGCTGAGCCTCTCCAGCTCACCAGTGTGCTCCACCTGTATCAGCATAGTGTCACTTTCTGGGACTTGCAGAGCTTTATTTGGAGGGGAAGCGGAAAGGCAATAGGAAAAGAGCTTTTATGGTTACCAAAACAAGCTTCAAGCCAGAAGGGTCCAAACTAAAAGGCATCTCACACCACAAAGCTTGCCACTCACTGCGCTCAAGCCCTCCAATGGCCTCAGCTCAGGCTTTTCTGAGGATCTCAGACTGACAGCAGATTTTAACACATTTTTGAAGCCCCTGATTCTGGCCTCACAACCCCCCTGCACTGTCCCAGCACATCCTGACTGCCCTGCCTCAGTGGCTCTTGTATGGGAGCAGCTGCCAGCTCTCCTCCCCATGCCACAGAGTGCACGATCCTACGCCAGCACCACCAGCCCCATGGCAGTGGGCACAAAGCCAGCAGATCAGCCATCACCAACCTCACTCCACACCAGAGGCCTCCTTAGTCTGCCCTGAGGGTGAGGTCCCATTTTGTGGAGCTAGGAAAAGAAGGAGAAAAGGGAATTTGCTTCGTCTGCAAGCTATACATCCTTTCCATCTTCCTGAGCCCAGCATAGATGGGAACAGCTGTGTGGCAGCGCTTCCATAAGGCTCCAGCTCTGTTGAAGATGCTGAAATACCAATTTAAGTCTAAAAGCTGGAGTAGGAGAGAAGTGGCAAGGAAAGGAGGAAGGGCAACCACAGAATCACAGAAAGGTTTGGCTTGGAAAGGACCTTGAAAGATTATCCAGTCCAACTTCCCTGTCATCAGCTGGGATATCTTTCACTAGATCGGGTTGCTCAAAGCCCTGTCAAATCTGACCTTGAGAACTTTGGATGATGGGGCATCCAATGCTTTTAAAAGAAACAAAATTAATACAAACTCCTCGGAAAAAGGCATTTCTTTAATTAAGATTTTTTTTTTTTTGGTCAATGAGTACAGAAGACAAACCCTGCTATGCACAGCACTGGGCAGGGTCTGCTGAGGAACAGAGGGAGGAGACATATAACATCAAACACATGAGCATGAAGAAAGAAGTGGACTCTCAGGACTCATGGTTGGATGCTGCCTCATCCATCTCAGGACTCATCTCCTCCCAGCATGAAGAGAAGATGCTCTCAACCTTCAAACACATCTAGCTCCATCCAAGGACCACCTTGACTCTTTTAGAGCTCCTGCTTCAGTGTCTGGACATCTAATTTTGATTTCCAGCCTAACTCATCAGTAGCTACACTTCCTCCCAATGCACACTTGTTCATCTTGTAGGTAAACATCTTCCCCAAGCTCGAACAGCTCTCCTCTCTCTGTGGGGTAAAAACAGAATTGTGTAAGATGACGTGCACCTGCATTTATCAGGAGCTGTGGTGCTCACGCCTCCCAGGATCAGGCAAGGTTAATCCCCTGCAAACCATCACAGTGGGGAATGGAAGCACTAAATCCTCCAGAAATCCAGCCCAGACCACAGCACGTGGAAGTCTGGTCTGGTGTTTGTAGGACCTATAAAAACACAGCTGTGCCCGCTTTTTCAGCTCTCTGCATGGCAGAGACCTGTGCAGAATGTTAGGCAGAGATGTGGTCTTACTGATGATAATGATAATTATCATTATTACTTCTATCACTACTGCAGTCATAACCAGGGGCCCCCAAACAGATCTCGGCAAAAGAAAGAAATGGTCTCTGCTTTGATGAGTTGATAAATATAGTCTGAAACAAGCAGCAGCAACTCAGCATGGCAAATAGCAAGGAGGGGGGCTGGCAGCACCAGGAAAATTGCTCACTTCACTGGTCTAAACCACACACACATTGAGTGCTTCAAAATACATTAAAACGCTGCTGGTTTATAAACTGTTGGCTGTTGTGATTTCACTTTTTTCAGTCATCTAACCATTTCTAACTTCTTTTAAAGTTCCATTAAGTAGCTTTTAATCAGCACCTTCTAGCTGATTTTTGTGCAGGTGTCAGGAAAAGAAAAATAAAATTAAAGTCAAGGTGAGACCAAGCAAATGCTTTAGTGGGAGGGAGAAGGGGGTACAATCACTCCTCCTACATGTGCACACAGTACCTGCTCCACTGTCACTCCAGTGGCTTTTCCCTGTGCTTTCAATATGATCAAGAAATAAAATCACAAATGTGATCAGACAGACAGACCCTCCGCATGGGAGCAACACACCTACAAAATAATAATAGAGAAACACAAGGCCAGAGGATGCATATTACTGAATGTTAAAAGCAACAAGCTGAAGAAATTACCAGGAACAGAATTTGCCAGTCTCCCAGAGAAATACTATTCCAGCTGCCAAAGGCTGCAGGGAACCAGCTCCAGCAACGCTGGTGGGGCAGGCAATGCTGTGATGTGCACAGGGACCCTCTGCCCCATCACAGCCCCAGAACAGCCCTTCCCCTGAGCGGAACCACTGCTCCCACTCATGACTGGCAAAAGGAAGCAGGTAATTTCCTATATTCCTCCACCAAAGCAGCGTTGGCAGGATAGGAGGGATGAAAACACACCAGGGTGAGAGGGGATGCTGCAGCTCCCCCATCTACAGACTCACAGCCAACCAGATGGGAAAGACCTGCGACCAACAGAGAACAAATTTAGGCAAAATGACTCACAGTGCCCCTGTACTCAGGGAACCAGTGGGGCACAAAGCTGTCTCCCAGGCTGAACTATTGCTGCAAAAGCAGGGAGGTCATTGAAAAAACAATTAGGGAGCCTGGAGGAGAAAAGGGAGCCATAGAAAGTGAATGAAGCACATTGGGCTAAATATTTCTCACTGCCCCGCTCTCGCCTGCCAGATCCCAGAAGCCTCATGTTCTCAGGGTTATATATGGCTGGGTAATGGCCTTGCACGGGCTGCTGACAGCGACCAGCAGCATGTCACCTTTTGAAAGTGGATTAGCTTAAGCTGCAGGCACGCTGTCACATCACTAAGCCTGTCTCTGACCAGGTCTTGGCCAACCCTTAGCTCTTCCAGGCCTGTCAGATAAGGACAGGATCCCCAAATGCCCAGTATCAGACAAAGCAAGGGACTGGCACTGACAAAGTCCCCCTGCGAGCTACTGATTGTCTCCCGTTTTCCAACAGACCTGGTGATGCCTGATTGTTTGTGAGACCAGACACTCAGGGTTGCATTAGAAATGTCTGTGTGTCTTGTCTCCCCTTCTCAGCCTGCAGTGCCTGCTGTGCTCTTTGGGAAAGCCTCCTTTTCCAAATGCCAAGAAACACAGAATTTTTAGAGGGTGATAATGCTTCTGAGTAACATATAATCAGACCCACAATCACTAAAGCATTTGCAATTAAGACATACTGACTTTTTTCACCAAAAAATAAGTGATTGATAAAGAACAGTTTTCCTAGGAAAAAACAGGATTATTTTCCATTATTATTTTTAATTTCAAGAGAATCAGAAAAATAAGAATTTCCACTTGACTGGAAGGTGACATTTTCACTGCATTTCAGAAGTGGATTATTTTTTACTTTTTAAATTCCAAATGTCTTTCTCTTCCTATTTCTCGCTAAGTTTTGTTACTGAAGGCAGCAGAACAGGTGCATATGACTTCACTTTTCCCCCTCCAACACATTTTCTTTTTTTGTTCTGAAGTCTCTGAAGTTAGAGTGGCAGAGGAAAAAAACCAAAACACTCAGACTTTTCCAACTTTCCTACAAGTTATCCTTCACTTTAGAAAATCATTTAAGTGCAAGATTTAATGTGCTGCTTTGTTTTTATTTCTCCTTTCTATTATTCTGTAGTCTTCCTGAAAATGCATACAACTTAGAAAAGAAAGAGCAGAAAGAGGAAAAAATATACAGATGATATTTAACTTATTGTACTCAATACAAAAGAGGGAAACATGATGATGGAACAAAGTAGAGCATCCAAAACCATATACAAAAGCTATTTGGGCAATTTTCTTTAACACAACCGAGCTTTTCTTTTGAGGGAGGGTTAAACCATAGCAAATCACCACAAACAGAAAAGTCACACCTCGCCAAGACAGCTACCACTCTTTCCTAAAATCCTTGGCTTTCTCCTTGTTTCTGCTGCAGTAAGGTTCCATCACACACTCTCCAGTGTCAGTCAGGGGCATCCTGGCTACTCCAACTGGCAAGTTTCAAGTTGCAAACCCCAGAGGTACTTCCAGCCATGCACTCCTGATGCTGGGAACTCCCTCCCCCCATGCGTCCACAAGCCAGGCACCCAAATCCCACGCTTGCTGCTCAATCACATGAAGAGGGGAGGACTTTTACAGCAGAAGGTAGAAGGCCAACACACAGTGACTGGCAGGCATTTGTTTTGGTAACATAACAGCTCCAGAGGCTATGGCAATGGTCATGTAAATATCCTTTGAATTATTTCATATTCAAGAGTGTTCTATAGTAGAGGGAAAAAAATAAAACAATCCAGTCAGCAGGCTGAAGAGGAAGCACTTCTAGATTTGTTCTGCCAAACTTATGCCCTATAACCCCCAATTATACCCATATTCCCACAGATCAATACTGAAAAGGGTCGTTGAATCATCACACGTCAGCAGAGGCCAATAACCAAAAGCCTTTCAAAAGTATCAGTCTTGGACATGGGGCATCTGTTCCAATTAAAACCAAGAAAGACTGTCCCTATGTTGTCCCCCAGCCCTACACCTCTCAGGAGGATAGGTAGCCAGAGCAAGTGTAGAAGACACCAGCACATTCTTCTTGGTATGAATGATCTGAAACAGGGAGGCTTCCACAAACTCACCAACAAAGAGCAAGTCAGGAACAACCTGTGTTACCAGCCAATTTCTCTGAATTAGTTGTTCTTTCCTAAAAAAATAAATACTTACCATCACTTCCCGGTTGCTTGTATGGGTTGTACTTTGGTTTGGGGGCAACGACAGGTGCAAACTTCTTTGGAGTCTGCTGGGTGGACACCGAGATGCTGGGAGTCCCAAAGGTGTGCGTGGTCTCCATCCTTGCAGTAACGTGACCAACAGGCTCATTGGTACTCTTGGGTGGCAGCCAGGATGGGTGGGACATGGTTCAGATCTGAGGGGAGAGGCAAAGAGTCACATGGGCATTAGGAATTTAGGCTGGGGAAACAACAGTTAGATTCCTGCTATTCTGCTGTTTTATGAAATCAAACCTACAAAGCCCTTTAACATGTTTAACTAGTGTATGCTTGACTTAAAACAATATTGCTCCTAATGTATAGGACTTTAGATACCAACTTGTCTTTCTTTTCCCAGCACGTCAGTTATGATTATTGTTGGTGCCTACAAAAACCAATGCTATTTTCCTCTTCAAACCAGAGCAGAGATAGGTTGATACCCTGAAGCAGCCCATCAATCCCACCACCCATTCAGCACAGTAGTGATGTATCTGCCTTTCCCTATTAGGCCTTTGTGAGTACTTTAAAGTACAACAGTGCAGGTGCTCTGGGGACAAGTCTAGTCACAGACAGGCAGATACTTCCAAAACACATTTTTAGCACTTTTTCACGTCATTTAGGACCCCATGCCCCAGTGATTTTCATTCAGACTTTTAAGAAAAAGGATTTCAAAAGCAGCTAATCATTCTTGATGCCTCCATTTCTGAATGCCCAGCTTAAGACATTTTAAAAGCATATCAATTTTGAAAAAATGCCAGAATCCCACAACCGCTGACAACCAGGCTCCTTTTAGACATCTTGACTTGTGTAACAAAAAACAGAGGCAGCCCAAATCATTACTTATTTATGAAAATCTTGGCTTTGGCCTCTTAAAAGCCTACATCACTTTTGAGAACTGGACTCAGATGCTGCTGAAAATGTTGCCCATAAAAATCCTGTTCATTGCAATAAACAAGTGCTTTTCACCACACACAAAGCATACTCGCTGGGTAGCAACCATAGTCCTACAGTACTATCAGATGATCCTATGGAGCTGTATTTGAGAAGTGTTGGGGAAATGAAGACCCCATACAGACAAAAGCTAATGCTCATTTTGGAGCTCTTGAGCACCTTGTCACTCTTGCCCGCACACTGCTTTGGTCTCAGAACTCCTCAAGGCCACCAAAGCCAGCAGGCAGCTGTGACCCGAACAGGAAAGATTTGTTTTGCTCACGGAAACAGATCAGTGCAAGAGATAGCACCAAACCATGGGAGACATGAACACACTGCCATGGCAGAAAGGCACTTCTACCTGGGAACAACAGGACAAAGCAGAGGAGCTGCTGGATTCACACAAAGGTGGTCTGTAACTGCAGCAGTAAATGCAACCTGCTGAGGCTGGGATGGAAGAGAGTTGTAGCTCTGCTGGGCATGCCACCAAGGGCTTTATCAATGAGAACAGTTACCTGAGTGCAGGGTGGGAAATAGAAAGGGGGAAGATGAAAGGTGGCCTTTTGGCAGGTGCAGACCCCCTTGGAGTGGCCATTCCCAGCCTACCTGGGCATATCCCTAGTGCCTCACAGCCAAGACTTCCATGCACACATGCTTCTCCAAGAAATAATAACACTGAGCTCTTCAACCAGCCCACAGGGTTACACAGAACATTTAGGCAGGTAGAAGACATACCCGATATCACATTTAAGTCTACCTAGAGAAAACAAAGCAGAAAGGACACAGTTTCCCTTTTTTAGTTCCTAATTTGGGCTAACACATCACTAGAAATGTCAAGAGTAAGCTCTTGGGAATTAGGAACAGAGTTATTTTGTCATCTTATCCTGGCTGCATCCTACAACCTTCATGGTGGAACAAATTCAGTTGAGTCCTTTCATCAAAGCAGTAAATGAAGACTCTTGGGTATAAACTAGAGAATGTACTCCTGTGGGTTCCTGCATGGATAACCATGTCCTAGCAATTTGTTGTTGGCAATGCTGAGTCAGTCAGGGGAAAGGATCAAGGTCTCCACATGGTAGTGCAGGAACAGAACCTCCAGCTAACAGTTTACAGTTAACAGTTTAACTGTTTAAACTGATGGATATACACGAGTGCTTATTCCAACATGATAAAAATTTACTCCAGGTAGTAGGTTTTCTACTTCAGGAGTAATTTCTACTTTGAGTCCCAATGTCTGACCCAACATCAGAAAGCAGACAATTTATAGTCATCTTCCACCTCCACCACTCCTTGTGGAGAGAGGAACTGGTGAATGCCAAACATCAGTCCCAACAGCTTTGTCTCTTCCTGGTCATGCAGTCTGACTGTTTGACACGCAGACAGTAGTTCCACAATTCCTACCACTAGAAAGTGAGCCTGCTGCACTAGGAATCCAATACCAGTGAAAAGAAGACACAGGTTGGCTAGAAATGAGGCAGACAGCAGCACGGCAGGAGGAGCCTGGAAAAGGACAAGTATCGAAGGCTGAGCTGCAAGGATGTGACTTTCCACCTCCATCTGCCTGTCATCCAAACCTATGGTAAGAGTGCAGAGCATCATTCTGAAAGCAAGAAGTGAAAGGCAGGTCCTCCCCACAGGGCTGGAGAGCAAACCAGTCATGACAGGTGGAGGTCGAGGGCATGGGAACCACAGTCCCTCTGCATGGTACTTCCCATTGCCAACACCAACCCTGATGGACCTCGAAAATGACTGTCACTCCATCAGTAACATTCACCTACACTGATGCTTCCTCCTCCCACATTCTTCAAAACCGTAAAAGCAGCAATAAAACTCAAGCAACTATCTAGGTTTTAAGAACAGAGAGCAATGAGGGCACTCAGCCCTAAGAGCAAAACAAAACAAGTCTGCACTCTTCAGAGTTATTACATCCGAAGACAACTGCACCTTACCCATTGCTAAAAGCATCCTGGAGTTTAATTCTAACAGGTTTTCAGCCTCTGGCTGGACATTTCATATGAAAGAGCATCCTGCTGCATGAAGCACCCTCAGACCCTGGACATTATGTCCATTCTGACTCAAAAGAAACAAAATTAAAAAAAAAAAAAAATCCCAGTACTAACTAGATCATCACCATTTCTGTTGTGGAATATTCCTTAACCACCTCCCAGGCTGCCAGGTTGATGGCAAGGATGGGTTGCATGATGCACAAACCAAGGATGTCAGCCTCAGAAGACAGGTTTGCACAGCACTGAGACGGCTGAAGACAATGAGAATTTCAGTGAATGAGTTTAGGGAGCAGAACGCTCCTATGGACAGCTTGGGAGTGTGAGGAACACACTGCAGTAACTCAGCTGCTGACTGTAAGTTGGCACACAGCTCCCTCTCAGCTAAACTCTAATGCCTTTGTCTGGCCATGGTGGTATTTTCTAATTGTTTCCCTGTTAGCATTTTCTCTTCCTCTTTCTCTCCCTCTCATTTTCTGTTATGCATTTACTGTCACTTGGTTTTGCTACCTGTGCCTTGACAGCTCCCCAGCCCCAATTAAATTTAGTCTAACTACTCTGCAAGATCATAAAAAAAGAAAATGAATTAATCTTTTTTTAACAGCTGAAGCTAAACTTCGGGGTTTACTGTTATTTTACCCCCATTTTGTCAGCTGGTAAAAGACCAAAAGCAAAGAAAAATGTAAGGGACAGGGGCTTGGAGAGAGGCATTGCCTCCCACCTCTCTGCAGACTTCTCCATGGTGGAGAACCCTGGCTAGTTCAGACAAAGCCATCAGTGTTCCCTCTCCATTCCCTGCAATATTGCCTATTTTCAGTCAAAAGCTTCTTTGGAGCAAAATATTTTGTGATGTAGACAAGTAATCAAACAGCACAGAGAAACCTGGGTCTATAACTAATCCCTTTAACTCTAAACTTACTCTTATGTCACCGTCTCTGCACCACTGTGGTTCCTGCACTTGAATGAGAACCTCCAGTAGATACTGGCAGTGCTTTTCTGGCTCACCAGCAAACACACCTTTCACTTTTGAGGTATTTTCTTCCAAAAAAAGTTATTTTTCACTGAAAAGTTAACCTATAGGTTAAATATACAGCTGCCCCCACATTTCTGCTCCAAGCAAATCATTCCTCAGGTTTGCATTCAATGAGCCCCTTCCTGGCAAACCTGAATAAATCTAGCCATGCAGCATTTAACACAGCAAAGTTGGAAAAACCTTTGTCAGCAGAGCCCCTGCCCCTGGGAACTCTCCCAGAGGGTCAGCCACCTTTTACTTCCTCGTCAGTGCCATGTCTCCTGTCTTGGCTGAAGCCTTCTGAAATTCTGCCTGCCACTGTCCCATAGCCATCCCTGGTCAGCAGTAACTCACAACAGCTCTGTTCCTGATCTGACTGCTACAAGCTTTTCCTGTGAGTCCTAACTCACTGACTACTCCAGCAACAACCACCTCCCAAATTCACTGCCCTATTCCAGAAAAAAAAAAAAAAACAAAACAAAACCCTAAATCTTCTTTGCATCGCTGCTTTGAAAGCCTTTCTCACCGACTGTCTCGACCAATCCTCCACTGAGCTGTATCCAACTATTGCTCCACCAAGCTTCTGTTGAGCTAAAGAATATTTGTTATGAAGTACACGTAGCCCCAAATGAAACAATGCAAGTGGTGGAGAATCCAACACAACATTAGGTAAATTGTTTGGACAAGCAATTAAACACCGTAATTACAACTTCTCCTGTATGTCTGGCTTTAAATTTAGCTAGCTCCACTTCCAACCATTGCATTTTGTTATGCTCCTGTCATCTGCATTACAGACCTGCCTCTCTTAGTTATGCAGATCCTTTCAGAACACAGCCAGGTCGTTGGTTAAATCAAATCAAAACATTTAAATTAAGTATCAATTAAACTCCCTGTAAAGGGCAGACTTCTCTTGATTCTTTCATGTATGTTTACTCTGAATTCTCTTCAATTTTCCAGCTACCTTCTATGAAATGGTGGATGATAGAATAAGAATATTTTTTCAAGAATGGCAACTTAAAATAGAAGGGGTAAAATGATGAATAATATTAAAAAAAAAAAAAAACAAAAAAAAAAACCAACTTGACTGAAATCAGCTATGGATGCCTGAGGTTCTGTTATCCTTCCTTCCTTGGAAGCATTAGTCATCACCTACTTTTGAAGGCAGAGGATAAGACCAGACTAACCATGATAAATAACATTAGGAGCAAAGAGT